GGCCACGGATGATCTCCCGTCCAGCCTGAAGTCGGACATCCGCGCGTGTTCCTGCCGACTACACGAGTCTCTTATGGCATTTAAATGGGTCCTCCTCTGCAGCCGATTGGTATTGGACGTGTAATCCTTTCGGGGTGAAGTAGCGACATCACAATCATCACCATCCTGTAAGTGAATTCATGCCCATACTAATTATTAGCCAGAGGAAAGAACAACAAATAATAGTATGTGAGAAAGACAGTTTACCACGATAATAAACGTGTTCCCGCCATTTTGTCGGGTGGTATCACAAAGAAATGTGTATTTTTTAGTCAGTAAGCCAAATGCAATCCTTCGATCCAGGACGCTCACCCCTGAGATGTCCAAAGCCGGTGACTAGACAGCAGGTAAGGCATACGCTTGGTGCTCTTTAAATAAATTCAGCGCGTGCGCCCTGCTGTCTGAAAGTGACCGTCGCACCTTAAGTGTGATGGCGATCCCCCTTCCCCTATGATAGTGTAACTCACAGGTTGCATTACATAAATTGACGTCCAACGTGTGTGGTTGATTTACAATATCAGTGATTTGTAACTTTGAAATATTTGGTTTTCAACCAGTTATATCAAATAGATTCAGGTGGAGTATAAGAAATGAAGGAAGTCATCCAGGAAAGTCTCTCCACAAAGAGCTGAATCAGGGTCTCTTATTAATAATTGCATTTATGTCGGTAGCAATCGGATCACTGGCAAACAAGTGAAGGGGACAACATGTCCAACTCTTAATATAATTGTAGTTTGTGCGTAATTTACGTTTTATTTTGTTACAAGCTGCAGCTCTTGCTACAAACATAATTTCTGTTGCATTCACTCTCACCAGCAAGATGCCACTGCGGAGAGACATTCCTGGCGAATTGTATACTATATCAATATTAACACGGCCGAAATTTCCCTGTGAGAAAGTTACTACTCGTACAATAAAGAGTTGTTAATACGTTTTTGGAGAGGTCACCTATTAATGAAAACCTGGTATTGTCCAGGTATCTAATTTATAAAAATAAACAAATTAATATTAAATAGATGATTACCAAAAGAAGAGTGAAATAAAGTTGAAATAGAATTGTTAAATTATTAAAGCATGAAAGGTAACTGGATCGCTCCTGGTTAGCAGCCGCTAGGCGTGAAAACGATTCATGCGATTTCTGAATTATGGTCAGCCGTATTAGTACACACGGGACGTCGGTGATGACGGGAGCGGCCCCGAGTCCCACACACGATCGAAGGGTCAAAGGAGATGGAGAATGTGAGCGGAGTGGGGAGACAAACACAGAATTTTACACCCTACATTTTGGACTTCCCCATCTCGCCTGAATTGACTGAAAAATAACGGATGGCTGGGAAAACAAGTGACTTGCAACTAACACCCTTCCTAGTCTGACCAAATACGTAGACGATGAATTGCCAGTATGAACGGGCATCGCCAGACAACTACACTGAAGTTTTTGAAAATTGAAACACCAAGAAAGAGGCATACTATTACAATGAAATGTATTCCACATATTAGGAATATCACAATATTCAATTGGTTATATTTATAGAACTATCCCTGGCCTTGATTATTTATTAGTCAGGTTGAAGCCGCCACGCGCTGCCATCAGAGCCTCTAGACGTTGTGGCATGGATTCAAAGAGGGCCTGGATATGCTGCTGGGGAACACACCTCCACGAGGTTTCTACGCGTGACCACAAAGCATCGACAGTGGCTGCAGTAGGACCAGGTCGAACAGTTGCCAACCAGGACCAGGACCAAGTCGAACAGTTGCCGACCTATCGTATCCCAAACGTTCGATACGGAAACATTCCAGACGAGCGTGCAGGCCAGGGAAGCAATGGTACCCATTGTTCTTCGCAGATAGCCCGCAAATTCCTTTCCACATGCGTCGGACATTGTCCAGTTTAAATATGACATATCGAGCTGCTTGCAAGAGGGCCAGTATCTCAGCCTCTAAAACCTCCCTGTCGTAGCGGTTGGTGTTCAGATAACCATCAATATGTACGAGGCGAGATCGCACATTGTAGCCAAGGTGTCTCAAACCATCACACTTGGCGTTTGTCCGCCATGGCGCGGAACAATGCAGGCTGGCTGATAGCGACCCCATGGTAGCGTCAAACACGTACGCGACCATCGCTGTACCCGCGGAACCCGTTCGAAAAAAACACTAAATTTTGCCACACAGCACACCAGCGAAGACGTTCACGGTCCCATTGCTGTCGTAGGCGTTGGTTGTTTCTGGCCAACGGAATCTGACGCAGTGGTATGCATGCCACCAGTGCAGCAAATGGCGTCGAACCTTCGACAAAGACATGACCACACCAGTTGCAGTGCTCCAAATTCGAGCCAACACTGTGGACGACGCCGTTCCAACGGTTATGGCCCAACGAACAAGATGGCGGTTATCTCGCGATGTGGTCACATGCTGTGGTCCAGTACCAACTCGTCGCTCCGTATGACCCTCCTCTACTCACTGGTTACAAACAAGCATCACTGTCATAGCAGCGCGCCCCGTTCGAGCCGCAATGTCACGGTGACATTGTCGCATGACAAACCCGTTTTTTGAAGTCCGATCGTTCTGCCCGTTCGAACGGTCTCAGATGCTGATTTTGCACCCTTTAGCGTAAACGAGGCATTCCGGTTCTTGCTTGCATGTTTCCACGTCGTTTGACGGCTCTACGCCCAGTGTTAGCGTAACACTGACCTGGCCTGTCATACATAGGAGGGCGCTGCTATACCAATGTACAATAGCAGCGCCCTCCTATGTATGACAGGTCAGGTCAGTGTCAATCAATGTACAGTCCATCACACTTCTTATGGGTACACTGTTCTACACATCTGCCGATTTTATAATGATTCCGACCATTCCTTGTGGGTGTTGCAATTTTCACAAACAGCGGTGTAGATATTTTCACCAATACAATAATACTTTACATTTAAACATAACATTCCTGAAATAGAAAAGAGGACAGATCATTTAACTTCTTGCATCTCACTTTCACGCAAATATATGGCCACCACGGTTTAATATATTCTGAAAAACCATCTACTCAGTCTCAATTAAACCCAACTCTTCAGAGCATTCTCTCATCATATAAACATACATATCATACTATGGTTCACATAGTGTTTCTTGAAAATACACTCGAAAAAAAAAACGTATACCCATGAGGAACCGACGTCTCATTCACTAATATAAGAAAAAAATTACACACTCAATGTTCCCTCTCACACACATCCAGAAGTGCCAGTTTTTCGCCTCCTAGGCTTGCACAGGTTCTTAGTGTTAAAACGCGATTCACGTTTCCCCTACACCACCGGACTTACAGATTATCTCATCTTATAATAATAATAATAATAATAATAATAATAATAATAATAATAATAATAATAATAATAATAATAAATCATTCCCGACGGCTTAAAAGAATGTTAAAAAATTATGTTTGCAATATTCAGAAATTTCCATTCGTATTATTCCAAATAAAATTTTAAAGTACAGATTTAAGGAAAAGGAAGTATCAAATTTGCAATTTTGCAATGTTAATTTTTTTTTGTTCGCCATTTTCGAAAATAAAGAATTCAAAGAAAATGCGATTTGCGACATTTTTAAGAACCCTTTACTCTATTCGAAGAAAAAGGATTTTTTACTAATGTCGAGCGGGGCAAAGTGGATAATAATTACCACAATCTTCCTAAAGTGGTAAAAAGCCACCCCGGCTTACGTACGGTACATTGCTGCTTTAATGGAGTTTCTACAGTTCTTAAGAACTGTTAATCTACAATAAAAGGCAATCCTATCAAATCATTTAAAATCTTCCATTATTTACAAATTCAATAATGAAAATAAAATTAAATAATTATAATTCTGTAGAAACTACATGAAAGCTTCAACGTGCCGTACGTAAACCTTTGCCCTACTTTGGGAAGATTGTAGTAAATAACGTTTGTCTTTCTCACGAAATTAACTAAGTTATAGCAGTACCTATATAAAATTTAAAAACATACGTATATTTCACTTGGAGAAAATTATTGAAATTAATGTCATTCAACAAAAAAATGTAACTTAAATTTGACATTAAGCCATCTCACAGGGTGGGGTGACTTCATGCCACTACGTTTATTTCATCTCGTTCAATGCTACATGAGGCATGGCACAGTGTCACTCCCTTCTTCATGATTGCTTTGTAGCAACAAATGAATCGAATCACAATATTAAGTTTAGTAAAATGGAAACTGACGAAGCACACTCTTTTTCACATAAACCTTCCAAATTAATTTTACATACCTTAAAAATTCACTTTCTCCACACTATTTGATACTCCTCATGAATCTTTGTCTGAACTGAAAATACTTTTAGCGGCCAGTGGAAAATTGTTTGTAATATCTTATTATGAATCTTATTCTATCTAAAGTGTTCTTTGAAAAACAGTGTTTAATTTTCAAGTGCTTTGAGACCCGCAGTTTGTTTTGAAAACATTGATGATTAAAAACATATACTATAATGTGTTAACGCACATTGCACTAATGCATGTGTGTGTGTGTGTGTGTGTGTGTGTGTGTGTGTGTGTGTGTGTGTGTGTGTGTGTGTGTTTTTCTGAATGAACTTAATGTAATATGTATATTAAAGGGCGATGCCTGCATGTAGCACGTGCTGCCTGTGCCTTTGTTTTAAACCGGCCCTGATAAGATTCATAGATTACTAGGGCATAAAAATATTGTTCCGAACTTTAGTAGTGAGGGGGATTGTACCTTGTGCAAACAAGAAAAGCAGCTTGAGTGCATACATGTGCATTTATTACTCTCAATTTATTTATTTTCCAACCAAGACGCCTGGCTTCATTTGGAATTTGCGAACGCTATTTGCAACGCGAAGACGACGCGTCCCCTTTGGAGAATGAATGAAAATTAAATGCGGAGCGGGGGTGGGGCTCCACTCAAGGACAGGAGTCGCGAAAGAGGTGCTAGTGAAGAGAAGAGGTAAAGTAGCGTCTGTCGGAGGCCGTCGAGGCAGAAGTAGTAGAGGGGGAGAAGGTGAGACCGGTGAAGGAGGGGTTAAGGCGCTGAGAGCCAGTTGTGTGTACGTGTACGTGTGTGTGAGTTGGTGTGAGTGCGGTGCGCGCATCGGTGTGCATCTGTGTGCGAGTGTGAGATCTGGTCTGCATGCGGGCGTTGTTGTGTATGCTAGTTACTGTGTGGAGGAAATAAGACAGAATTTAGTGATAGATTGACAAATGAATGTGTTATAAATATGGTGGATCCTCATCTTATTGCTGTTGATGAAATCGATGGCATTTGGACGTTCATACAAAGTGTTAGTATTGTACTCAAGAGTATCGTACAGTGCCGGGTAATAGTCGATGTAAACTGCAAATGCAAACCGTACTAAGAAAAATAATTAAACTGGAAGAACGTGTATAATTCATTATCGTGATATTCTCTAAGATTTGGTGTTGTTTATTGTTAATTGAGTGTTTGTTCATTTAGTGGTAAAATATTATTCTTAAATGATTTTGATAATTGCCGAAAATAAATTGAATGCAATGTGAATATTTAAAATAATATTGTTCTTTCTCAGAAATTTTCTTTAGTCTGTACTGCTCAAGGTTATGTTTTTTCTTCTTTTTTCTATCTTTTGTTACACATTCAGCTTATCATAGGTGTGCTAACATTTTTATTTTGCCTTATTAATGCTCATTGAAACTTGTAAATAATTACAACAAATACCTACTTTGAAAACTGAATTTAGTAGTCTGCCTTCACACATTCTCCTTATTTTTAATTTTGTATGTACCTTATCTGGCACAATTGTGTTTGAGGTTGTAGTATGCAGAATTGTGGACAATTAAAGTAAAATTGTGTTGCAGATTGATTGGCATGATCCATGGCTGATGGGTCTAGTTCTTTTTCATGTTACCATTACTTTAATGACTCTCTTGACCAGGAATCACAGCAATTTTCAAGTTTTACTATTTTTCTCTTTGTGTAAGTAAAGTTATTTTGTTGAAAATTACTGTAACTTTCATTGATTTAAATAGTTTTTCATTTAGAAAATTCTCTTGCCTTACATATGAAAATTTACAATTTTCTGATGGTATGTTTTAGTGCTTCTTGTATACTTCTCAGAAAGCATCAATGAAATTGCTGCCAACAATTGGAGGTAAGGAATTGTTGTACTTGAAATACATGGGTAGATTTTGTTCAATAATTTTTACCCCTTGACACAAAAGAACAGAATATTTGAAAGTTTTCATTTCACTATTTTCACAATGTCTACCTATGCATGAAGAATGGAACAGTTTGAATTTACTAAAAAAATATACCTTAAATAGGCCAGAAGTTTTATTTGTTATTGTCTGTCAGAATCATTTGAAATTGTTCAGACATTTTTGCTGCAAGTTCGTAAAACTTTTTATCCTATTGTCTTGAAATATGAAAATAATAATACTTTACAATATGTCTTGCATCTTTTGATTCCTTAGTGAACTAAACTTAGAAATTTAATGAAATAGCTCAAATAAAAATTGCTTTTTAATTTGACAGGGATACTATCAGTAGTATGAACAAATTTTGTTCTATTTATTATAAGTAATGTAATAAAGCATTATGTAAATTCAAAGTAAAATTGACAAATGTTTCAAAAAAATATACAAGTTTCTAAATTTGTGGATAAATACTAACTTACAGTTTGTGATTTCAGTTTGTTCTCGAACCAGCAGTACTTTGACACTAAAGGAATGTTCATATCACTTGTGTTTTCCGTGCCAATCCTGCTAAACTGCATGATTATGGTGGTAAGAATTTACCTTTCTATTGTTTTGTTATTAAAACATTTGTGCTACAATGTTGTTTCTCAACACACAACAAATAATTTACTTTATCTTCTTCTATTTGATGCATATTTCCTTTGTTGAACTTTCATAATGCTTACTCATATTTATTGACTTTTCCTTTTTCTATGTCCTCTTTCAAATTCTTGTTTGTAAATCATCTGTTGTAGTATGAAATTGATTATCTTTCATGTTTATTATTTGAACTAGGTAATGTGTAATAAAAATATTTGTATTTTTGAAATTTAAACAGAACAATTCAGCCAATTGAAGTTTGTTAGCATTGCACAAAAATTCCTCTTCCAAAGTCACTGGATTGGTTCACCAACCTCTAACTTGTTACATTCATCCCAATCTGTAACCCGTTATAATGGAGAAATATGAACTAGAACAATTTTGAGATCTTGACTGATCGGGTCATGCCACGTTTCTGGCTGAGTTGCCAATGTTTCAACCATCTTCTTGTGGTTTTTATCACTGCTGGTCCTGGTGAAGACCACAAGAAGATGGTTGAAAAATCGGCAATTCAGCCTGCAATGCGGCATCACCCGGACAGCCAAGATCTCAACTCTGGCTGCGGAAGCCTACATCTTCACAGAGAACAAATTTGCTTGGAGTGTATAACTACTCTGTGAATTTGTGTGATATATTTATGGTGATTAATATTTGCATGTTTTCTGTGAAGATTTAATAGTTATTCTGATTTCGTGACTTAAGAAAGTCTTTTCCATCAATTCCATATCAGTACTTCATTATTAAATTAACGTTTCGTTGTTTTGTTTGTTATTTTTCATACATCCAATTTCGAATTTTTAACATTCTCTTAACTTTACAAATGACTTTTTTTCTATGTCCTGTGCAGATTCTTTTCATTTCTAAAAAAATTTGCATAGAGGAGCGTGTAGGCTAGTTTTAATTGTGGCTACTTTTAAATTTTAATGAACACACTTCTTGAAATATTTTAAAACAAAAAAAATGAGTATCTTCAAGTTTCAGACAATTTGGGGTATATTATCCCGCATCCAGAGGCATATCTACAGTATGGCAGACATGGTTCGTGGTATGGGTGCCACTCACAAGGGGGAGATTAAAGTATACATACTAAAAGAAATAACAACGACCCTAATTTAAAGTACCCTAACTGAGGCCCAAATTCTGTGCTTACCATGGGTGTCTAAATTCCTGGACATGCCTCTATCCACATCTACAATTTTTATTTTAATGGAATTTTAACAGGTTTTAAATTCTCCAAGGCATTACTTACCTAATCATCAACATTTTGCAATAAAATTACTATCTTAAAGTTTCTTTGGTTGCTAAAGATGAATCTTGAGGTTAAGGATAAGGTGCACAACAGGTGGGAGATACCAGGTGGAGGAAATCTCTGCATGTCAATGTGTAGGTTGATGTCAGATCTGGCCATCTGGTGGGGAACAATCATCACCACCTCTCGCAATAAAAACATGCGCTTCACTTATGGGATGAATTACCCGAGCAGTTGACATGCCCGGAACACTATACAATCAATCAATTAAAAAGAATATAATATTGGTTTGGTTCGCAAGTAGCAAAGTTTGAAAGTATTTTGCGTTTATGTTGCAGGCTAATTGGTTATGGCAATCAAGTCAGCTGATGACAAAGTTGAAAAGAGCACAGCTAAGGCAGCAGGCTCAGTACCTGCAGCGGCAACAGAGCCAGAATCGAACAGAGGAGAATGCCCACAGTAAGGCGGATTGAAAGCCCTGAAATGGCACGTTGACAATGTTGGATAACATTCGACTGAGATGATCAAACAAGAGTGGTCGGACTAGTCAGTGCCCTCCACCAGGTGGGGCCTCCGTGCCACATCCTGAGTGTGAGGTCCAGTGTGAGTTGCAAGTTCATATTCTTTTGTTGTGGTATGGTGGTTCCCAACCTATTGTAATACTTTTTTTGTATGAGAATAGGTCTCTGTGCCTACTGCCATATATCACTTGTGTGATGTGCCATGTACAGTAAGAGGTGAAGAGCTTGTTTTTAAATTTGTTGAGAGTTATCTACCTCATGGATGACTTCAAGCATTGGAGTCTCATTTCATCGAGAAATAATATGCTTTCTTTATTATGGTGGACAAAATGAATTCCACAAAACTTAGTTATATGAACTAATATTGCAGCCTTTGTCTCTGTGACTCTTCAGAAACATACATGGCCTATATGCACTTAGCATGGAGTTACCATTAGTACGTGCTGATAGTGATAGTTTAACTTGTATTAATGCAGGACATAATAATGAGTGACATGTTAGAATTTATGGGAGCTTTGTCAGTAAATTTTGATTCCTCTGATGCAAAAATAGTTGTAATAATAAAATAGCAATTAATGCTTGATGAATTAAGGATAGTGATTATTTAAAATATATATTACAATATAGGTAAGAATACATGACAGGAGAAGCGCTGCCTTACTGTGATATTAAAGATCCCATTTTGGAGGGGAGTCCCAGAGATATAGGTGTCTGATGAATGGCATTCCTGAAAGATGTGTAATTGGCAGTGCAGCAGGACTGATTCACGAGTTATTTAGTGTAAATTCACATCAGATAATTGCACTTTTTCTCCTTTATTTTTGGTTTTCCACAACTAGGTTGGGAATTACTCTGCTAGTGTACTTAACATGAAAATAAGAGTGACATTACTACTGGAAGTAACCAAAGACTGCAATTGTTTTCAATGTGTTTGGCCCACAACTTCTGATGCACAGAACAGTCTAAATGTTGCCTTAAATTATGACCATAATTTTCTTCTTTGCTTCTGCTGTTATATCTTAAAAAAAAAAAAAATAGTTTTCCTTGTCTTTTTGCTTCACATCCTTGCATTACAATTTACATTTTTTTTGAGTTCTTGTTTGTATCATATGGCTTACATCTTGCAGTGAGATCCACTGCTTAGTCTGTAGTCTGATATTTCTCTCATCCTGTGAATATATATCTTTTAATTTATCAAGATCCAATCCTTTCTTCTAATCTTTATTCTTCTCAACTGAATTATTTTTTAAAAATTCTCGGAAGTGGGATGAACACATAGCATGCTTCATGAAAAATTTCTTTGTGGATACATCTGTAGTAAGAGGTTTTGTAAATATATATATATTAATTTGTTAGCTTTTGCCTAGAAATGTTTTGCATATACCTTAACATTGTCTTCCTTTGTTCGTCTGTGACCTTGCAAGTAAATATGGATCTCTTCTGTATAACTGTCTGTAGCATTGCGTGAAGCAATAATCCACAAGAAAGTGACTGGTTATCATAACTAAGTATCCAATGTGATATTAATTGATGATTATTAATTTGTTAATAATCAAAAATGTACATACCTGAAAAGCAGTTATTCTATAGAAGAAAATGTGGATATTATTAATGGTATTGTTATGCGAGAATCGTGGCTTCTTAGTAGTTGGCTATGATAATTCTATTTCATTAATTTGGTTTCAGTATTGTAATATATCTTTTTTATAACTGTATTTATTTCTTTTGCTTCATTGAGGTATTTTCTGAATAAAATTTAAGCGCAGATGTTTTTCTACTTGCCAGGTGTTTTCATTTTTGTTATCTTTCGTTAAGATGCACTTTAATGAATGAAATTATTTGTCAAGCATTGTAATTAGCTGATGTATCGTGATGATGGACAACAGATTTCATCTATTTTTTATTAATGTTATATATCAGATAGATGTGAAGAATCATGTTGGTGATACCAATATGTCTTGAATTGTAGTAAATGTAATGTTGTTTACATGACTTGTGTCTGTGAATAGTGTATTTATGTGATTCAATTACACATGATAAAATTTTTCTTCTGAAAAATGTCTATATTAAAGAACGTACTGCAACTATTGAAAGATCGTGGTTTGTGCTTGTAGTAAATTTGAATCTTTAAACAATATTAATTTTCAATTTGTTTAAGGACTCAGTTTTACTTTTTAAATGTTTTATTCTTGAGTAGTATGAACCCAGTTCAAACTTCTCAAGCTGAGTTTTACCTTTCAAGTATCTTGAAATTTTAGTTTTTAGCGATATTTTAAGAAAAATATTGTTTTAAACTAAAGAGATATTTCTTTATCAGTGTTTTATAAAAGTACTATTATAGGTTTCCTTTCCTTTCCTAGAATCCATTATTTAGAATTAGTTACATGAAAACTTCATGACACATTTCTTCTTCATACAGTCCATTGGCATTGGCATTTACCCACATGTTAGTTAATACCAGTGGTACTTTGATGAATCCAACTGAGATTTGTATTGAACAAAAAGGATATCGCAAAGAAAATCCATTGAAGAATGTTTTCTTGCCAAAATGTGTGGGAATTTGGTACTTTTGGTACTACACTTTTGTTTGATGAATTGTTAAAATAGAAAAGGTTGGATAAACAGCTCTCCTCCTTTCTATATCTTCTATTACTTGATAGTTCCTTGAGCTGAAGAGGCACTTGTTTGTAGGTTGTGACTATCAGCATAATCATACGATGCATACGATTTTTTCCAAACTGAATAAACTGCTGTTGATCTGGCTGAGTCAAAGCTCGGATTTTGAAGAACATGCATTAATTTTTAGAGGTACTTTACATGAATCCTCTGGACATTTTCAACATAAAGTAAAATACACTGATTAAGATGGCATAAGTCCGTTTTTAACTGTTAACTCTGAATTTTGGAAAATTGCAAAAGTTCTAATTTTCTCCGGCGTCTTCCTACAAGTACAAAATTGAAGACTGAGATTATTTTTGTTTGAAATTTGTTCTCTGTAGTTCTTTCAAGATGATCGTGTACATATTTTTAAAAAGTTGGTAGTTTTCATGCAATATGTTTAATAAATCATGAGCAAGATTTTCTCAAAATTTTCCAAATTTTTTCTTTAAACTTTTGGTAGGGATACATCTAAATGCACTCTCTAAGATGGCATAAATGTAGTTTTGCTGTCATATTTTGGTTTTTCAAAAATTACAAAAATGTAATTTTTTTACTTGCTCCCACATTAATATTTACTTTAGCATTAATTTGTTCACATTATTATATTTATGATTAAATGTGCTTTAAATAATGTTGCATAAAGTGTCTCGAAAACTTAACCATTTAGTGTGAAAAGTAGCTCAAAATTCATTTCAGATTTCTACATTTGCAGAAATGCTCAAACACCATTTTTCAAGAAAGGTTTCCAAATATTTTCTTCAAATTTTTCAAACAGTTAGTGCTAATTGGACTCTTTAATATGACCTTAAGTTCATTTTCACTGGTTCTTATCTTCCATTAAAACCCTTGACATTTTTGAAAGTTGCAAAAGTCAAATTTTTTGGACTCGCTTCTGTTACAACTACTGTGTTACTGTAGATAGAGATTTTTCTATTAATAAATCTATTCTTTTAATTAGACCTTTAAATATTGCCTTGTACTATTTTTTGAAAATATGATTAGTTTTCGCACGATTTTAAGTGACAACATGACAATTTTTGAAAAAACATACACAATTTCTTTCAAAACCAGCTCAAAATTTTGAAACTTGTGTAAAAATAGACAAAAATGCACTAAATTCTATATTATAAGTGTAGGTTGGTTAAAAAGTTTGACTTTTCAAAACTTACACATTTAAAAAAAATTATATTTCCTATTGATTACAAAAACATTACATGCTATTGTGAACAATGCATTTCCAAAGTTTCTCAAAATTTCAAGAGTAAATGAACTTAAATTAGTGGAGTTTCAGAAACACACTACCAGATCTTGCCTTCAAAAAGGTTCTATCAGAGTTCAGGCTCATTCAGAGTTTCATCAAATTAAAATCTTAGGGAACCAGAAAATTGAGAAAATGTGCACAAAATTGTTGTTTTCTTTGATAGAACACAAAATTTCCAATATATATTTTAAAGGAAGGGAAGAAAAACCATTATACTAATTGAAGAAATGTGTCAGTATTATTTTTCACATCATTTTCTGTTAAGTTTATTAATTTTGAGAAATTTGTTAATTAATGTGCATGATGAAACTTTTATGCAAAGGCAAATAATTCTACTAAATGTCATGGTCATCATCATGAACAACACGATAGTAGGTCTGGAGCTTGTTCCTGTTAGGACAGTAGATCTGGTGATTATTTTTCCACATGTTCCTGAATATTTCATCTTTTGTTGCGTCTTGCTATATTTCTTTACCCTATGGGTTTATACTTTAAAACTGCTTTAGTAAATCTATCTGCTTGCATTCTTTGCACATGTGAGAGCTATCTCTTGTGGCTCTCATGTCATTCACTATGTTTTTTTCTAATTTCAAAATTTCTATGTTGATCTAGCCATGTAATTCCTACCAGGTGCTGGAAAAGTCTCGTTTGTGTGGCTCTCAATCTCTTCTCTCTATTTTAGGGTCCATATTTCTAAACTGTATATTAACATTGGCTTAGATGTTATGTTGTGTATACTTAGTTTTCTCTCTGTTGTCATATCTCTTCCGAAGTGTTTCTTGATTATTCAATTTACTCCATTATATTTTTGAATTTTTATTTCTTGATCTTCTGAATTTTGTCCTATGATGTTTCCTAGGTACATAAATTTTGCTACAGGTTCTATTATTTTTCCATCTATAACAATTTTTACCCTCCTCATTTCTTTGCTTTGAAATGCCATAGCTTTAGTCTTATTTGTCAAGATTTTCATCTATATTAGGACTATTTTATGAAGTTCATATGCTGCCCTCCGTAAGTCATCTTCTGATTCCATTGTTAAGTTCATGACATCTGCATAGAGAATCATTTGGACCATTTGTCTTTTGTTTAAATTTATACTGATTTTCACTTTTTGTTTCCCCTTTTTGGTCATGTGGTTTGCTAAGTATGTAAAATAAATGTTAAACTGGCATAGTGACAGCCCACATCCTTGTGTCAGTCCTCTGGTTGTTCTAAAAGTCTCTGTATTGCTTTCATCATTCTTTCTTACTTTAATCTGAGTGTGTATACAGATTCTGGATTCCTTTTATTATGTCTGTAAGTATCTCTTCATCTTCCAGTATTTCCCACATTTTGTTTCTTTTCACATATGATAGGCTTTTTCAAAGTCTATAAAGAGGAGGAAAGTTCGAAGACTCACTTCATTTCGGTTGTCCAGGATTGTCTGTACTGTGAAAATAGCATCGTTTGTATTCTGCCCTTTCTAAATCCATTTTGTTCTTCTCACAGACATTTTTCACTATATTCATATAATATTTTTCTTTAAATATTAGCAAAAAGTTTTAATACTATAGACAGGAGAGTGTTCCCTCTACAGTTTTTGCAATCTGTTTTTGATTCTTTCTTGAGTAAATTAATCACTATACCTATCTGCCATTCTCTTGGAAGTGAATACTCTTCCCAAGCTTTGTTATGTAGTTTTGTTAGGGTATTCTGGAGAACATTTCTTCTCTATTCAATATTATTCAAATAAATAGATTCAGTGTTACTAAGAACATTATGTATGCCATAAAAATATAACAATTTACATTTTACAGAACCATTACAAATTGTATAAGGTGTTCCTTGTTGAAGCACTATTAGTTTTTATTTGTGTTTGCATTATACCATAATCTTTGATTTCAGTATTTAAGTCTCATAGGGAAGATATCTAATTTCTTTAGACTGAAAATGCTTCAAATGTGTTGCTATGAGTATATCTTTCTCAGTGTATATTTAAAATATTGTAGGGTAGTGCCAATATTGTTGTGCATATATTGTAATATGAAAATATCTAACAAAATTATTTTTCTTCCCATGGAAATTTCTAAGTTTCCAAAAGTGAAAGAAATGTTTAACTATTTCAGACACCGTGCCCTCTTTTGAGGACAGCATATTTAATACCCATTTTACTTCCTCTGTGTAACACTAGCGCTCTAATTCCATGATGTACTCTGAAAGCAAACTGTTTTAGTAGTTCACAATAGATAGCAGCACTTTCCAAAATCTGAAGTGTTATTCATTTTAATACAAACCTTTGGTGATCGAAAGCGAAGCGGGATGCTGTTGTCTACCAAGAATTAGTTAACTGTTTGTGTTTCATAAAGTACTTTAATGGGTGGATATTTTTTCGTTTTACATTATTGTATAGAATAATTTATTGTCCATCAAATTCTGTAATTGAGGAAATAACGTCGGGTATTTTTCTCTCCTGTATGGAGGGCATGGTGTCTTGGAGACTCCATGACGGACGAAGATAGGCTTCTGACTATGGAGGAAAGTGGGCTCCAAATTCGAAGGTATAGGCGAGAAAATGGTACATGCACGAAAAGGGGAAAAAAAAAAGAAAAGCTTTATAGAGGTGCCACATCCTGATGTAGATCAGC